AAAATTTTTTTTTTAATTCTAAGATTTTAAAATGTAATACGAGATTCCTCATAAGTTTTTCCACCTTGATTAAAAAAAAAATTTCTAGAAGAAAGTCAAATTAAATTTTTATGACCGTTTGAAATTCATATTTTTACAACATTTGATATTCGCTCGATTTCTCATGTAACGATTTTCTTATTTTGTTGTAATTAAAAAACGAATGACTGTATATATTTGAAAATTTTACTGAATGTTTATATTAGCATTTTCTATACACCATTCAATTTTCAAATTAATTTGACTATTTTTGAGCTGTTTACAGACATTGTCAGTTTTCAATATTTTTAATTTTTTTTTTCTATAAATATCAATAAAAATGTATTTGTTGGGCGAAAAAGCTTGAAAATTTAATACGAGGCTCCTGATATATTGTTATAATAGCAGTCGCAAAATATTAAAAATACATTAGCACAATTTTTTTATAGGCATTTGAAGTTCAAATTTGGACAAAATTTATCAAAATATCGAAAATTATCAATCACTGTAATTAAAAAATTATAAAATGTTCAGTTATTATAACTAAGGATTGGAAATTTAAAACAAAGATTCTCATAAATAGTTCATACTGTAACCAAAAAATCTAAAAAATACATAAACACAGTTTTTTTTTTACAGACATTTTAAATTCAAATTTGGACGAAATGTTTAATATTTATGTTCTTTTACCCAAACTGACATACCGTCTCCGCTCAGAATCGTTTTTCTTATACAATGATATTATATCATTGAATTCAAAATTAATACCTTCCATTATACAGTGACCCCTAGTAACCTACTGTACAGCAGAGCGACATCCACTTACCCGCTTTTTTTTTTTAATTTTGTGTATTTTCTTCAATATTTTTATCGTTTGGTGTAGATACACTTGTTGACACAGGTATTAATATTACTTTTTTATATCAAACCTTTGAGTGGAGTACAAAGCTTCTAGCGGGATTTTTTTCTAGCATTACTCATAATCTAATACTAAGGTTTCATAAACACAATAATTACACTAAAAATCAAGAGTTTGATGAAGACTCTTTAGAAAGAAAAAATGTTCAGCGTCATAATAATAAAGCCAATATTTATCCAAATTTAATGGTTTAAATCCATCAAAATTAAAAAATTAAAAATATTTAATATTAAATATTTGCACCCATTTTTATTTATTATTTTAAAACTAAGTAATACAAATATTTGTATCATATTTATTTATTAATATATTTATTTATTTAACTTGTATACCTACAAATTAATTTTACATGGGACTATAATTGTTTTTTTATTACATCGCAAAACAAATATGTAAAATTCTAAGGGCATAATACGTATTATCTATATATATAAAAATGGAGACAAATAATTCGAAATTGCATCAGTTGAGAACGGCTGGGCCGATTTTGCTCAAATTTTTTTAAGATGTTCGTAATTGCCAGGTGAAGGTTTTTACGAAAGAAAATTTTTAAAAAGTCAACCGAATAATTAGAAAAACTGCAAAAACTATTTATTGATGTCTGGGATTTGAACTCGATACCGTTGTCTTTATTTACTCTATGGTATATTATATTATATTATATTGGTTGCTATTGGTTAATCGGGCATGTTTGTTGATTTGTATTATTATTTTTTGTAAATATATCTTATATATAAATTAATGACCTATGGGAAGAAGATACGCTAATTTAAAAAGGGTTAAATTTGGTTTTTTTTATTCATCGGATTTTAGTACGGTTAGGTTAGGTTAAGATTTATAGGTAGGTGGAATTAAGTAAATACGTCAAACTTGGTATAACTTTGGTACTTTTTGAGTTAAATCATACACTTACGTACAAACAGCACGGGGTCCGCGATCTACCGCAGGTAAATTACCTATCTGATAATGTACTGCTGGCTGTTGCAATTCAGAATTTTTATTCCGGGCAACAGAAAATTTAAGATAAATATAGAACATCATACACCGAATATTAAATAACGCATTGAACAATGTTTGAGTCATATAGAGTTGGTACATTTAACGGGAAACGAAATGCACGGGATCAGCTAGTTTATTATATTTTATTTTATTATTACATGCATAACTTACTATGCCCTTTTTACATATAGATAATATAATGTACATATTATGATATTTCATAAAATAAAAGCATAGGTAGTATACTAGAATATAATATACGTCAGTTACACTATCTACGCTACCTATACCATTAATTTAAGTTACCTATCAATTATAATAAATTGTCATTAATCTAAATGTTTTGTTTCAACTAACTATTATATATAACAAATGTGGTCTGTACATAATTTAATTTTAGTTTATATACATTATATGATATTATGATCAATGAACATGTTTAGTTTATACAGATTGCTTTTTTTACATAGGTACTACAAATTGCAATTATATAATTAATATATTATTTTATTTATATTTATTTAATAAACATTATGGACAACATCAACTTCATATTATATGTATTATATGTTTAAAATTAAAATAAGAAAATACATCAATATTAACTATATAATCAAAACTATTTAAAATGTAGCTAATATTTATTTAATAGATTAAATTATCGTACAAACATTGCTTCATGTCACTTATAAGTTACAACGTAAAATACGTTACACTTTTACTAAAAAATCTATTTAATTCTAATGAAATTATTATTTTACTTGTATTTTAAGAAGTAGATAATTGGGTTAGAAATATAAATCGAGTTATGGAATATAATAATTGTTATGCTTAATTCATTGGTTAATATTTTTATGCAAACAGGAGCTTTAATTAAAAAGTAGGTTTGCGACGTATGAGCTAGGAGGCAGCGCACCATGTAGAATTCATAGGCGACAATTTACGCAACGGTCTGTAATGACGCGAAACGTCCTGTACGACTGTCCGTGAAATAATAATGTACCTCTCCCGCGATTACAACAAGCGGGCCGCGTCGCGTACACGATGGGCGTGGTTACGGCCTACCGCGACGGCGGCGATACGGCGCACAACGCCATCTCTTGAGCGTTGCATTCGTTTCACTTTTACTAGGACGGCCTCTTAAGTCTGAATAAATTGTCGTGTGGGAACTTACGTACGGGTGTAAATTTTTTCCATGAGGGAACTTACATATATACCCGCTTACCTGCTATGTTTCGTGTGGAAGTTACTAAACCCCATATATACATATAGGACCCCGGAAAACTCATTCATCCGCAGGTTTTCCTGAAAATCGTTATCATTTGGAACGTGTATTATATTACAATACAAAGCAGGTAGTATAAGGTATACTACAGTCGAATATCTTGTTATATCGCGTCGTCTTCTTCTTCACATAATATGCGAATACTGCCTATAGATAATAATTTATCGACCTGCGTCGCATAGTATTATATTATATTCAAATGAAAATGTGTGTGTGTGTGTGTGTGTTTACACTGACGGTATTACCTATCGTTTGACGCAAACTTCCGACGTGTTCGTAATAGCGTTTCAGAGGGTCAAACATTATAATATCGATGCGTTAAAAAAAAATAAAAATTACATGATCAATACGACATATTTTTAATATTATTCAATATCCAAAAAAAAATACCAGAATTATTAAAATGCTCATTGTGCAGTATAGATGTATCCACAATAAACACATATATTCTATGATTCCTCAATTTTCCTTGCAGAGGACAAATATCGAAAAGCATGTTACTTGTACACTTGTTACTTTTACATAGCTGATTTAAAGTGAAAACTGAAAGAATCGTTGATTTCTTAAAGCAACCTTAAATGATTTATGTTTACGTAATCATTCAATATTTTCCAATATTCACAAATAAATTATTTAAAATATTATGTAACTTATCCTTTATCATATAGACATTTGAAAGATAACATTGTCATGTAGTAAGGCGAGTAGGGTTAGTAGTCTTATTATTTTTTCTAAATTAACCTAACTTTTAGAACCGTCCCAACTATGGGTCTCATTATTTTCCATTAATAGAAAAGTGATCATTAATTCTGAAGAAGTTTTTGAAGTCCTATTATGTCTCAAAAATCGAGAAAAATTTACAAGTGCACTTACTTATATAAACTACAATTACATTTTTTTTAGGTATAAGATTATATCGAAAAATATTTTTTAATGAATTATTATGTTTATTGTTATTGCGTAGTGATTGTGGCTAGGATGGCCGTGTCAATCTTTGTGATACATTTGTGCGACCCCCTCCAGCCATGACAAGAGCATGAATTGACAACATAATAATATCATACACCACTATATTATGTACTTTTAAAATCTTTTTTAATGAAAATATGTCAACAAAAACTTCTAGGTTAAAGTTGTTCTGATTAAAGTGTACGAGTAGAGCGGGAATGTCACTCCAATGCACATAAATATATCTAAAATTACAAACTATGATTTAATGACTCACTTCTATTCAAAAATCGATGTTAAGAGAGCGGTTTTACCGTATTATTGTACTATGAAACAAATGGACAGTAGTGTATAATATTATATGTATAGTGTCGAGGAGTTATATATTAAATATTATATATAAAATATTATATTATAATTATAATAATTATAAAAAACAATATTAAATTATAATTTATAATTACGTATATTATTGATTTATATCACTCACGCAGAACATAATATGTGTGAGCGGTTGTATGTAACACTACTGTGTTATAATTTTTCGTTCAGACAATTCATCGACATTCATTCGAGATTCATCTAATAGCTGACAGCCTGTGACCCTGACGCGTTTTATAGCGGCTGGTCGGCATTTCATTTCTTATTGCCACCGAACTCCTCCTGGATTTCCTGCAGAGTCTTATGATTTGTCTCTGGCACAAGAAACCACACATAAAAGTTGCCCAGCACGCAGCACCTCTGAATTTTCCAAACGTCATACAGTATTAATAATGTAGTAGGTATAGTGTTTCAACGAGGTTTGATACGACTTGACAGCTCAGAACTCGATCAAAGATGCGACCACGCACACGATGCCAACCCCTTAAATTCTGGGCTGAACGGCTCACCAATCATGACGCCGCGTATGGGCCCGAAGTCTAGCCCGACGTCCAAGCTGATAAGCGATATCAGACTGAATGCCGACAGTGAACGCCGTGCTCCTGTAGCCACACGTAGTTGGCCTGTAGGCAACCGAGGCACACGGTCAACAGCAAATCGGAGATTAGCCTTGTGAGAACCTTGAAAGTGAATATGACCTGGGTGGGACAATATTATTATCACGTCGATCGCATCATTGGATTTGTGAACATTTTGTGATATGGCGATCGAATATTGATCAATTATATTACTCGCATTGGGCATATTCATATAATAATATTATAATATCTCCATATCTATAGAACAAATAGTAATGATGAGTAAAATTATGTTTGAACAATTTCTGACAACTGACAGACGACAGTTCACTCTCATCCTTCAAACATATAATAATAATAGATTAATCTCCTAACAAGTAAAAAAAAAACATTTAAAAATTTACTCACAAACGTTATACCAAACATTTTATGGTTATCTTATTATTTTAAAATAATATAGGTAATATCTTCTAAAACGTTCAAATAATTATATTATTATTAAAAAATACTTATTTGTTTTATGGGAATTTATAATGCCTACCTTATTCTTAATTTGCTTACCTTGTAGTTGCATTTTTATCAGAAGACGCTACAACTAGCAACAGTGATCTTCCGATGTGTGTACAGAATATAGTGACGAATCCGGTGGACCATCCCAGAAACTCTTGGAGTGATGACATAAATTCCACTATTGTTAGATATGAACCCCAGAAAGTTATCTTTGCTGCAGGGCTGGATTAACCACGTAGCATAAGCCGGACGCCAGACCCTGAAATATTGAAATCCCCGAAGGTGCCTTTTTTCTCAAAACAAATTTATAATATTTTAACCTTGAATTTTGTTTTTACCTTTTTTATTTTTTTATTATTATTATTTGTATTACGCCGAGCCGTGTTGTATCTAGTGTGCATGAGTGCGACCTACATGTGGATCGTTGGTGGAACAGTATTATCAGACTGGAATCACAAACTCACTGCACCACCTAGGACATTAATAGGTACATTAATAGGTAAAAATAATTACGTAGAAATAAAATAATTCAAATAAAATGTTTAAAAAAAAAACAGAAAATTCTGTGCTGTATAGTAGGTTTTGAGTAATAGATGTAATTTATGTGTTTAATTTGAATTCAATGATAAATCATTGTATAAAAAAAATTAATTTTAATGAGAAACAGTGTCAGCCTCTTTTTCTAAGGATATTTTATAATTAATTTATATTACTATTATAGACAGTTTATTTTTATAGAGTAGTATAATATGGTATGTTTAACTTATTTTATCCTATATAAAAATCATATACAATATATTATTTAATAATTAAAATATAATATTATACTATTGTATATTTATATATACCAGTTACGTTATTACCAGCTACCACTGTCATGACTGCGACTGCTATACTATTATATTCATTAAATATTAGTACTTATAATATCGAATCGTTTGGCATGAATATAAAAATAATCTGTGAATTAAGTAATAGTATTAAACTTGAATATAAAGTAGTTCTTATTATATCAAACACAGATGAAATTCCCTTGAAGTATTACATTATATATTTATATGAGTATGTAACTGATGAGCTTTGTGAGTATATGACTATTGGACAATCATAGGGGTAGTGAAAAATAAGGATTATGGATAATTCACCAGACAACTCATTTCGAAAGAAATTGACAATCAATAAACAACTATAATAAAAATATATACAAAGATTATGTCATCAAATTAATTAACTTAAAAATAAGAAATCAGAAAACAAAAAAACGAAAAACGAAAATGAAGAGTAATAAATAAAAATGTGTAAGTATAAACAAAATATAATGAACATACAATTAAATAAATATTTTTCATAAAATAAAAGTTAAACATTTATATAGATAAAATTGTGAGCTGCACCTCTCAGACAGTCTTTGATTATATTTTCACAATCATGACATACTTTTTTCAACTGCTTCACAAAAGTATATTTTATACTTCCTTTTAATTTCTCTAGAATTATTTGCATTTGCTATGTAGTGTATAGTTTGTATTTTATTTAATGGTTCTTCTTTTTTAAATGCAGCAATACAATCCCAAGCAATAGGATGACCGATATGAAAATTGATTAGGCCAACACTTGACAGAATTATTTGTTCTTAGAATATTTTCTTCGCGATATAAAGGACGACTCAATTTTCATAAGTGTATAGGAAGTAACACTCTATGTTATTTATGGGTACGAAACTTTGGGTAGTCATAATTCGGGTTGAAAGAACAAATTCAGAATCTTCAATGAACTGTATTGTTGATGCCCAGAATAAGACTCTAAAGTCTCCATAGACTGCATAAAATAAATAAACTTCCTTCGAATTTGTATTTGAAAAATGCGTATTGAAATGCCATTCATCGTAGCTTTTTCAAAGGCAACCATAAAATTGTTTCTTCAAATAAACGACAATGTATAAGACAAGTATGATTTCCAATTTATTAGTAAGTAAGAATGCAAAAATCGACAGAACGGCTATTACAATAATTGTACCTACCTTATAAAGTCTATAAAATAATTAAACTAAGTACCATAAAAATACTACCCAAGCTAAGTGACTATAATATTAATTCAACCGTTATAACTGATATGCAATGGTTGTCAAGAATGGATAATAGTTGCCTATTCGGTCTTATCTATAACACAGAACCACTACAAAGTGCCAGCAACAATCTTAAATTACAAACAAATCGCTTAAAAGTCCTTTATTTGCATCGAATTGTCCGGCGATGAATATTGTCCTTTTGGTGGTTACCAAATATCAATGATAACTATATCGTGCTCGCGACGGTCACAAAAAGAAATTTATATTATTTCAAAATGTGCTTACGCGTTCAAATTCAAATACATCATTTTCGGAGTGACATTTTCGTGTCCAAAAATTATATGCGACGTCTGCATACACGAAACGTTTATACAGACCCGAAAAACGATATCCCCAGCGACATTTTACCACTAAACACAGTACACATTCATATATTTATATATACAACTACGGTTTTTATAAATTGTATGGGAAATGGTCATAATATTATAATATAATATATTCAGCCGATTCGTCGGCATAAAGTTTTTATGTTTATCTTGGTTTTTCCTGTACTTCGACTTCCGAGAATAAGGAAAACCCTATGCCATGCATATATTATACTACATACAGGGTGGTTCTTTTATCGTAAACCATTGAACGAGCAGGCAATTTATCTTAGTAAATTCGAGAAATGTTTTGATTTTTTAAACGTTAGGAACCCGCACTGGTTAACATTTGCCCACAATTGTCAGTAAGCAACGTATCTCAGCTATTTGTTCCTTAAAATTTGAAATAAAAATGCCTCTTATTTTATCTTAAGACATTACATGGTGCACGATACAAAAATACACCCAATACTCGTATAATGTACGTACACAATTTACATAACATAAGTCTATACAGTATATATGTGTGTGTATTAGACTTTAGAGCTGTCCAAGTCCGGGTTGACCAACATCGATTCAATCGAATACAATAATAATAATAATAATAATGGAAAAAACGTTAACGTGTCATATATTATATGTAATAGTATCGGGTGACAGAGCTTAGCTACCGGGTTCAGTATTTCAAAAATAATATATTTATAGGAGTAAAAAAATTGTAAATTCTTTTTCTTTTTTTAGTCTTTATTTTTCTTATAACAAATCCAACATAAGGACGTTTTATCTGAGAATTAAATTTATAGTGATGTTAATAAACACAGGGATTTCAGATCGATTTAGGTCAGGTTAAAATAATTCCAACTGATCTGGAATATCCGAGAAAAAAGATTCATCGTTGAAATCTATATTTGTTATCTTGTTGATGAATATTTTGTACATAATAATTAGACTGATCAGTATTATGTAATGTTTTTTTCCACACTATATTAAGAGTGTCACGAAGATTTTCTTGTGATAAAAGCACTTTTAAACTATGTTTACTTTTTAAAAAGTGACGTACAACATTCTGTGCTTAAAAACTGGTGTTCGTAAGTCTACACCAACATACTCAAATGTTTGACCCTGTTTTAATCTATTCTGTCATAGAAAACGCTAGTCTAACGGAAAATGGATGTCTCTACAATTACATGGTAAAGCCAAATTGACTTCTTTTGGAGCTCAATATAATTCTTAGAAAGTGCTGTAATGTTTGGTAATATAAAAATTATTTACCATGTGTATGATATTTTTTAATTAGGTATTTATTTTACCCCTTTAAAGTGACTGTTCCGGAAATACTTTAGTTATAAGTTATAACAGTATCTTCAAAATTAACTTTTTTGTATCTCTTTATATAACAGACAATTTGTTTTTTTTTTGGAATAACCAAAAAATATCAATATTTCAGATTTACATATATTTTTCAAAATGTTGAGCTTAGCTCAAAACCAAGAATTTTTCCGAATTTGAGACCTGCTTGATCAATGTAATCCTTTTATCAAAATACTCTTACTTACGAAATTCTGACGAATTCCATTGGTCTGTTTCTGAGAAAAATGTACAGACCGCAAACTCGCACGCAATTATTGGTCAGTTAATCGTATTGGATACTATAGTTGTGTAACCCAACTTCGTCCGTTAATAATGAACAAATATAAAATACGGCGCTGTATTCGTCAGCATATCGGCGTCGGTGTACCTAGATATGCGAGATGGGTAATCTGCCTGCGTAATCCACCTGCACTTGGTAATATCTTCGAACGTGGTTCAAACTACTCTCAAAACTTTCCTGATATTTCCAAGAACAATTTGAAATGTTCGTCAAAATCAGTCGTACAGTTTTAAAGTAGGTACATGCATATAATATATAAACATAAAGGTACATTCATTTTTAGATTCGGAGAGGATAGCGATGAATGAATTGATTTTACAATGATGTGTGTTTTTTTCTATAAATGTAAATTAAATTGTATTCGTTGGGTCAAAAAATGTGAAAATGTAATACAAGGCTCCTGATATATAATTACAATAGCAGATGAAAAATATTAAAAACATATATGCAGAATTTTTTTTATAAGCATTTGAAGTTTAAATTTTGACAAAATTTATCGAATTTTAAATTTAAATATTATTATTTTGTAGTCGAAACTTTATAAAATGTTCAACTTTGAGCTATAGCTAAATCTTATAGGGATTGAAAATTTAAAACGATGTTCCACGTAAATAGGTAAATAAATTACT